AGGAGAAGAGGAAGGAACTGCGAATGAAGGTGAAAAGCAGAGACAAAAAAAAAAGGGGGGGGGCGGAAGGGGAAGAAAACAAGAGGAAGACTATGTGAATTTAAAGAGGAGGAGGTGGCGTGAGCTCTGGCTGGCGAAGACGGCGACAAGCTCCAGGCAGAGCCGCTCGCCTCCGCTCTTTCCGTGCGGGGACACCTGAGCTGGACCCTCTGGGCGCTTCCAAAAAGTTATCGCCCGGTTTGGGGCTGCACGGATGAAAAACGCTAGCCATCCTCGGGCCGAAAGCCGAAGCCGAGGGAAGACAGACTAAGAGGAGAGCCCCCCCCTCCTGGTCCCGGCCTCGCCTGCCCGGGCAGAGGATTACCAGGGACAAGCTCAAAGGATGGGGAGACATTTCTGCTCCAGTCCGAGAGCTCCGCTGGGACAGGACGAGAGGCGTTTCACCTTCCCTTAGCGCGGCCAGGGGGCACGGAAAATTCCCACGTCTCTGCTGAAGGGCAGCAGCAGCCTTAATTACCTCAATTCGTCGTAAGCGCTCCTGTGAGCGGGCAACTAAGCAGTTCGTCTGTCTGAGGCCGAACAACCCGGCTCCAGCTTTTCACGCGCTCTGCCCTAACGAGCAGCATTTACAAACCCTGCTTCGGGCTAAAGTCTGAGGAATGACGGGGGGCAGCTCAGATCTCCAGGCCCTCAAACACTGGCCGGGTGGCAAGCAGGGAAACGGAGCTCCCGTATCCCAAATCTGAGAGAACTCGGGTGCAAAAAGGTGCCGATATGGTTTTGGTGAATTACGTTGAGGCGTGGGAGACTCCTCTACCACTTTTCACGTCGGTGACCCTGAAAGGGTCACGTAACCCACAGGCCTCCTCTGCAAACTGGGGACAGGACCACGAACCTCGTTTATAAAAAAGAGTTTGAGGAGCCACCCCACCGGTAAATTACTTACTTGGCAAATCCAATGAAGTCTTCGTGGTTAGTGTTGATGTAAGAGAGCTCAATGTCGATCAGCAGGAGGATCTGGAAGGAGGTTTACGCGTTAGGAGTCCCCCAGGGAGGGCTGAACACCCACAGCTCCGGCACTGCTCGGTCAGAGCTGCCACGGAGCCCCAGGGTTGTGCCTGGGGACACGGGTGACCGCGCAGGAGGTGCCAGAGCCTGCAGCACGCCGCATCGCTGCCGCGAGAGGGAGCTTTGGGATCGTGAGTGGGGCGAGATGCCGGGCGGCCGGTCCGGCCCAAGCACCGGCTGCTGCGGAGCCCGGCCAGGGCTCGCTTTTGTCCTCACACGCAGCAGCTTGGCTTTCTCCCTGCTCTCTAGCCAAGCCGAAGATCACGTGAGCTCACCTGGTCCTTCGTTTTGCCTTCCCGTTCCCTGATGTGAGTGGTAACGATCCTCTCCGTCTCCTCTCGTAACCTGGGGTAGGAACCAAGCTGAAAAGAAAGGGAGAAGGCCGGGGAAAAACCGCTGCTGATCGGAACGTGGCAGCCTCCAGCGCTCACCGCAGAAAGCCAGCGACAGGAGACGCTCACGAAGGGGACGGAGGACAGACGGGACCGAGCCCCAGTTCTGCCGGGAGGACACAACTGGGGCTCAGGGGTGGAAAAAGCGACAGACTCGATTCTCTTCACTAGATCCGACAAGATCGGCAGAATCCCCTTCCTGGGGGCCTTCGAAGCAATGCCAAACACACGAATCCAGATTTTTTTTTTCCTCCCGCCCTCGGACCCCACGGTTAAGCAGATCCGGGTTTTCACGGCACGGAGCGCGAGCTACGGCTAAGCAAGGCAAGGGAGGTGGGATCTCAGCAACAGAGGAGCGGTTTTAGCCTTCGCTGTTACGGGGGCGAGCAAACACCTGTGCAATATGTCTCGGCAGGACCCGTGCCGCGAAGCCGAGTTAACGCTACGTCTGTTTTTGCCGGCATTTCCGACAGGCGTTCGGGTGTCAGAAGGACACGGCGTCCCCCAAAATTAGTGACAACCTTGTGGTTGAACCCACTTTGGTCGGCTGGGTCCTGGGAGCAAATATATTCCAGATGTTCAGATTAGACAAAAAGGGATGAATTAAGACCCGTTACCTTTTCGGCACACTTTTTAATGACCGTGGCCAGCTCTGAGACCACCAGATCAACACACTTCAAACTGGGCTCTTTAAGCTTTACAATCTGTTTTTTCACTATGGCTTCAAAGGCCATGTCGGGCGTGAAGAGCCCCGTCCTGCACCGTGCAGAGAGGGAGAGCGAAACACCAAGTGGAGTGCAGGGGCGGGGGGGAAAATAGCAACAAAGACAGAAAAGAAAAGAAAAAATGAGATTTTTTTTTTTTAAATTAAGGTTAGTAACGTGCAAAGGAAAAAGCTGCAGTGCCTGCCTGAGAAATTCCTTTGGGCCCCTTGGAGCTGTTGGGGTGATCGGTCCCCTCTCGGCTCCCCTGCGTCTCGCAGGCAGCACGGGCAGGCTCAGCCCCGGACCCCAAACTCCCCGCGGCTTCGGGGGCTGTTTCAGTGATCAGAGGGTGTCTCGCCTCCGCGCGTACGGGATGGCAGTGCGGCCTGAGCGCAGGAAAACCCCCGCAGAGGCTCCTGGCTTCTCTCTAGACTGGATTACTCAGACCCAGCTCTAGGAAAACTCCGAATTTCAACTCGGCTTCGGGGCAAGAGCCTCCCTGAGTATCTGAGGCGGAAGGAATTTCGGCAGGAAGCGCTGGCTTCTTCACGTCACCCAGATCACAGTCAACCACGCTGGAAACGAGAGAGAGCGGAGAACTCCTGACCCGCCAGCAAAGCCCCACCGGTCCTACCACTGACAGAACCAGCTCAGCATTTAAACTGTTCTGCTCCACAAAAGCACTCTGGGCAGCAACCGTCGCGGATGCTTGCGCGTTCTCGCCCGTATGTAGCTAAATTTATTTATTTTTTTAAATAACGTAAGCGTTGGAAGGAGAGGGGAGCTGTTTTTCCTGCCCTCTTTTCAGTCTAAGGCACATCTTTTGGTGCTACCAGAACGAGATTTAAAAAAAAAAAAAGGAAAAGAAAAAAAGAGTCACTCTGAGAAGCCGGTTATTAAATATGGAAATGGGCCGTTTATCCAGGGCCCTCGCACAGCTTCAGGGTAATTAACGCTTCCACGGAAAAAAGACAATTGGGGGGCGGGAACCTTTTGAAATTCAAACGCGCTTGTTATCAAGCAGCTTATTAATTGCAGGCGTTGAACTGCCGGATTTATAGGCATGCCACCAGACTGTTCGCTGGAACTGCCGTCCCCGGCTTTTGTTTCCACGTTCCTGGGACTCCCAGAGTGCGGAGAAGCAGCAGTTTAAACCGCAGCTTGGGAAAACACGTGCTAAGAGAGGTACCAGGATCCAAGAGCAGCCTGCCCACCTGCCTGGCTCCTACCGGGAACAAAGCCCCGGCCGGCAGCACCCCCTCTAACCTGCCGCCGCAGTCAGGGCCCCGGAGAGCCCCTCGCCGCGAGAGCCGTGCTGTCCCCGGGAGGGTGACAGACATGGGAAGCCAAGCGTCTTGTCGAGCGTGCCCAGAAATCCCGACCCTGTCCGTCGGGATGCCCGGGAGGCTCGGGGACCCTGCCAGCGCTGGGCGATCCGTCCTCGGCATCCCTGACTCACGGACCGGCCGATCCCCTCCAAGGGGCATCCAAGGACTCCAAGTTAGGAGGCACGAGTCAAAGCTCAGAAGTAGCCAATTTGCTCAGGGGGCTCCCCGATTGTATTATTTTTAATTTTTTTCTTTTGGAGGGGAAACCAGGCAAGGCAGGCAGGTTAGAGCATCGCTCCTGCTTCCCCATCCCACTGGTAGGAAGGGGCTGGATTGCCTCCAGCCGGTTCAATACCTTACTGGTACACTGTCTAACTGTATTGATTAACTCCTGAATAACGAGGTCGACACACTTCAGACAAGGCTCTTTCAGCTTCACCACCTGCTTTTTCACAATGGCCTCGAATGCCAAGTCTGGGGTGAAGAGCCCCGTCCTACAGGAATCCGCAGGCGGGGTGAGAGGGCAGAGACATGGCAGAGAAAAAAACAAAATGGGTGATCAGGTTTGGAGGCGATCGGCTGCGTCCTGGAGAGCAATTCCTTCCCCAGCGCCGTGAGCTGGGGCGGCCCCGGTCTTGGATCCACGGCATCGCTGAACCCTGCTCTTCCCCCCCACCGTTGGGGCTGCCACAACCCCTCAGAGGGGACGGGGTGCCGGCACCGCCGCCCCCCCCACCTCGTGGTAGCACCCTCCAACCCCTCCAACACCTCGAATCAGGGCGCTACTTCCCCCCACGAATGAGAGCGAGAGCCCAGGTTCATCAGCACCGCAAGGAAATGGGAATTAACCTTTCTGGTGGTGTTTAGGGAAAACGGATACACCACCAGCAGGCCGAGCGACTCCTCGGGGAGAGGAGAGCGTTAAAGCAAAGAGAAGAAACTCTACGTTTCTCTTTTCCCATCCCAGGCCAAGAGGAGGAAGGGCATTGAACGCCATTCCTCTTCGGGGTCCCTAATCCTCCGCCCCCCCCCGCGACAGGTCTGCGCTGGACGGGCTGAGCAGCACCCACGCAGGACGCACCGCTCCCCAGCGAGGCAGCTCCTCCCCAGCACACACGCCTACAGCCAGGGCCTGGAGCCCTCCTTTAGCGAGAAGGTTTAACTCCCGTTCCCTACCTTTCTCTCAAGGTCATTTCTTCCCCCGCTTACAGGAATGTGAGAGGAAAGATAAAGGTTATTTTAGTGGCTGAACTGAAGGCACAAAGGGAAATTTTTCAGCTCAGCGTCTGCGTTGCAGCCTCCCCTGGGTTCTCCGGGGAGCGGGGCAAGCCTGACTCTGCTAACCGAGACCGCTCGCTACGCTGGAGTGACACACGGGGTGGCCGAGCTACCCCCTTAATTCCCTCTAAAAGGCAAGGAACGTCCACTTTCAGCAAACGCTGGTCTCCACACCACACCGGACGATGAGCTGACAGTGATAGGTATCACCTCTCCCTCGGCAGGAAAGCTCCCATCACACGCATCCCGCGGACCAGGCTTACTGATCTACTCTAAGGAGATCAGGATCCGTGACCGCGCCGCTCCGATACTTGCCTCACACCGTGGATGTTTTTAATTGCATAGCTTATTTCTCGCCTCAAGTCCTTCTCGTCAAACTCCATCTGAATAAGGGAGGAAAGCCACAGTTAGGTTTTTACGGCAAGCAACTTCTGGCAATCACGTGGGCGCGCAAGCGGGCTCCTGCTTCAGCCCTTCTTTTGCAGCATCGCAAGAGGCCGCTGCCTGCCTGAAGCACTCATCGCCTTCAGCCCACGAGGCACTTCACAAGCAGGTTCGGAGGCTGCTCTCTGTCCTGGCCAGACTGGCTCGCTCTCTGTGGTTTCCTTACCCCGCATCTTGAGATCTTTCTAGTACCCTGGTTTGATATCCTTCTCCCTGCTCTGCAACCTCCCCGTTGCAAGCCCAGTGCTCAAGCCAGGCATCGCCACCCAGAAAGGACAGCCCGCTGCATCCAGCGAAACGCGGGACCGACTCTAACGAAACGTCCCCTCCTTCGGTAAACACCTCCAAGTACCAGGAAGGGAAAGGCACCCCGGTGCTGAGGGACTGCCGGGGCTGAGCCGGGCTTCAGCTCCACGTGGATGTCGCAGCTGGGTGAGAGGGAGTTCAGCCCATCCCAACCACGTGCTGCTTTCCGTAGGAACAGAGCCTGCCCGATACTATCTAGGCAGCACACGCGCTCCCCAGGCCAGCTTTACCTTCACTAGCTCAAAAGGAAATCTCTCGTGGAAAATGCGATTGATTCTGGCACCCCCGGAGAGTTCGAGTGTGTCCACCTGGTCTCCTGAACCTTCGATCCGCTTCTCAAAGTCCACACCGAACTGCTGGACCATTCTGTGGAGAAGCAACGGGATTAAAGGGGCGCCAGCCGAGTACAACGGACGGACGGATGGACAGACGCCCAGACCGCCTCTGACAGCCAGCACCACCCCACCAGCTCTGCTTCAGCTCCTCAGGGCTGTGTAGAAGTTCTCCCAATTCCCTCTGCTGGAGTTGCAGAAGCAAAAACCTCCCTTTTGCTGTAGTCTAAAGAGCACGTGGGCAGGTCGAGGACGGACACAAGTTGTCCTTTCTAATCCCGAGACCAAACCGTTTGCTTTAGGACAGGGGGGTCACGTACGCAGAGCACAGCAAGCACGAGACGCTCAGCGGGCATTTCTGGGAGAGGCTTTCCTTGCCCTTCCCAGCAGCCTGCCAGACAAGCGCCAGAGGACACGGAATCTCTCCTAGGTGCCAGCTTAGCACCGTTGGAGTTGGCAGGGCCATCCACCTGCACCGCTCGCTCCCAGTGACGGGGCTATTCCGGGCTCTTCCTTGGAAGAAGCCACCGGCTGAGATAAATGAGCCTCGCGCGAAGAGCAGAGTGAGTTTATTTCTGTGCCAGCGACGTTTCTGGCTGGGAGAGGTGAATCTCCTCTGCCAGGTGAGGCACCGGGAACGCAGCGCTGAGCGAGAGAAACCTACTGTAACAGAGCTTTGGTTTTTCGCGTGGGGTCATCGGGGCGGAAGTTTTTGTACTCCTCAACCTCCTTCTCCAGGGAGAGCAGCTGACTCTGAAGTTTGCTGCGCAGAGACGGCAGCGTCTCCCGAATGTGGTTGGTCAGTTGCTGCAAAAGAATCGAGGTAACTGAGACCCCCCTCCTCTGCACCAGACCGCCCGCAGGAACATCCCCCGTCCGTCAGAGATAAAACACCGGCACCGCAAAACACTCCGGAAGGGAACCAAGCCTACCTGGTTAAGGACCTTCTGCAAATGCGGGGTGCCCATGCGGTCGGCCATGTGCCGGTAAGCCGGGTGAGAAAGGAAGAACTTCCGCTCGGCTGCCAGCGCTGCCCTGATGTCCTTCTTACCGTCGATGTCCTTCTGGCTTCGGTTAACGACGCCGATGTAGCCTGCAAGAGGACACGTTGGCTCTTGCTACGGACAGGCCCAGCTGAAAGGTGTCCGAGCAGGGCCGTGCAGCTCCGTACCGCCATCCACAGCCACTTCTCCCGGAGCAAAGGGCGGCACGGAGGGCCTGGGCTCCCCAGCAGACACCGGAGAGCACAGGAGCTGCCCTTCGACTCGTTTTGAAATGCCACTCTCTCCACGCGAGAGACGAAGGTCGTGGGGGGGAGGATACGGGGCGACGCAAAGCCTTCGTGGTTCATTATACCTCTTCGTAAAGGAAGCAGCTTGTTCTCCAGCACGTCTCTGGCATCCGTGCCTTCATCCATCAGATCCAGCTTGGTGATGACTACAATCGTCCGCAAGCCTGAAGCGGCCACACAAACGAGCAATCGATTAATCTCATTTCACAGAACGCATCAAAAGGAGGCGCGCGGGTGCGTAACCAGAACAAACACGGACTCGCCAGCCAGGAGTGGAACCGCTGGCCCTTCCTCAACTGCCAGAGGACGGAGAGTCCTCTGTGAGAGGAGGAGGAGGGATAAGGAGACCCTCTGGTACCAAAACCAGGGAACTGATTGCCGAGACTCCGCCGCGACAGCCGCTGAAGGCTTTATCACTCCATGCCTGGGCTGGAGCAGCGGCATGGGCAGAGACAGGCAGGAGGACGCGTCCATCTTACCTTGAGGATCGACTTCTTTTGCCATCTTGAGCGCGTCCGAGTTGGCCAGGTCCATGTTCGCCGGCGTGACAGCGAGGATCAAGCTGCTCTCCCTGCTGATGAACTGCAGGATCATGTCTTTGATCTGGTACTCGATGTCCTGCGGTTGGTCCCCCACCGGCACTTTGGTGATACCCGGGAGGTCGATCAGAGTCAGGTTCAACACTGAAAGGACAAGAGACCGCCCGCCGTTCGGGGTCAAGGGCCTGGCGCTGGGAGCTGTCAGTCCTGCAGCCGGATCTCTTCAGAGCTGCTGACAGATCCACCCCTCTGCAAGCCTTAAAATCCCCTCTCAAGGAAGAGTTACTGCTGTATTTGCTCAGGGGGTGGCCCCGGCAGCCCCCATGGACCCCCAGGCTGGTGTAAGAGCAGCCAGACACACGTAGCAGCCAGCGTTTGCTTTTAGGACACAGGCTGGGCTAAATCCCACAGCCACCGTGTATGCAAATGCCGGCTTTTCTTCTTTCACAGTGTTTTGACACACGGAGGCCCGGGGCAGAGAAACAGCTCGCTCACCATGCGGCGAATAGACGCGGAGGTTGATGGGGACGGGAGAGATGCCTTTGTTCGTTCCCGTCACCCTGTCGGTTTCTGCTTCGATCTCCTGCCGCACCTCGTCAAAATCTGTGAACTTTTTGGATTTGCAGTGCAAAAACTCAGCATATTCTGGAAGAGGTTAAAAAAAAAAAATTAAAAAAAAAAAAGGAAAATTTGGCCATCTGGAGCCCAGCGCAGGACGCACACCGAGATTCAACTGGCTTAGAGACATTTCCACATCGCAAAGCAGAACCAGCCAGGCGCTTCGGTGCGCCACCGAGCAGCCAGGCAGGATCGGTGCGCCAGAGAGGCACCGAGGACCCGCCCAGGGATTAACCTGGTTGCCTTCAGCCTCCTAACTGGCAGCAGCCCCAAATAAACTTGGCCTAGCCGCTTCCTCTGGCTGAAGGAGGAAAGGCCGGGACGATGGCAGCCAGCCGGCTCGGGCTGAGCGCGCTGACTCTCTGCCTGCTGCCTCCGCGCTGGCAGCAGCTGCTTTGATGTGGACTTGGGAGTTACGTTTCCCTTCGCCAAAAAAGAAACTGCCCTTGGGTGAGATGCTGGCAGGCAGCCGACGCTGGCTCCAGCTAGCGAACCTCGACATCAGAATGGCCGTGTTTGTTTTCACCCGGGCCTGTTTGCTTTTCAGTCCCCGCTGATTGCTTTTAAATGTTTTATTGCCCAGACTCCTAACTCTGAAGAAAGCTCCGAGTCTTCAGCTGCCAAGATGCTCTGGTGCGCCTGGGAGGCAGGGCAGCAGCTGGCAGCACCCCTCGTGCTGGCAAAAGGGCTGCAGCCGGCGGCGGGGAGGCACACCGGTGCCGGAGACCCGGGGGATCGGCTTCGCACTGTCCGGCAAAGAAGGACCGGCGGCGCTTCCCGGCTCCGGCAGCCCCTTGCCAAGAAGGAACCGCAGCTTCCCTCCACCTGCGCTGCGAGCTCTCTTTTATCGACTCATTCGCTCTCCAGATTTATCACTCCATTTCGCTCTGCCCCCGCAAGCCACCAACCCCAGCCGAGCTGCAGTCCGGCGAGGGGCCTGACTCCGACCCCGGGGCAACTCTGCCTCTCCCCTCCGAGCCCAAGGAACCCGTGGCCAGGAGACAAACATTAACCCAGCCCCGGCTCCTCCGCGGGGAAGATGCCTGGGGAACAGAAAAGCAGCCGCTTTTTCTGGGCCTCTGTGCAGTCGCCTTCGGGTACCTGAGATTTTCTGAAAGGGTTTTGCAACCCGTTAGTGCAGGAGAAGCTTCGAGGGGAGTGGGGAAGCCGAGCAGAGAGGTGAGGGGGAAGAGAGAGCGCGCTTCCCTACAGTCACCGGAATAATGACTCCCTGGTTCCTGCAACAGCTCCTCGAAAAGGGATTTTAATAGATTTGGGGCCACGACTTGCCCTGAGGAGAGGGATGGTGCAACTCACTTCCTCCCTCCAACAACCCGTGCGTGGGGCGAGGGGAAATACCAGCCCTACCCTCGCTCTTCCACTCCTACTGGTTCCAGCACCTGATGACCCCTTATCATCTGAAGGCCGCGACTGTCATTTTGCAATCCCCTTACGTGTTCTGGGGACCAGAAACTACTAATTACTTGATAAACAGGTCACCTGAATAAAGGCGAAAGGAGGCTGCGGAGCACGGCTCTGCAGACCGCTCCAGCTCTGCCAGGACT